CGCCGGCTACACACAGCTACCAGATGTGCACGCTAGCAACCCGACTGGCTCCTTTTCCATCTCAGGGCGCCCAGACGAAGGCACTGCCCTTTTGGGGCTTTTGGGGGTTAGAGATCATGTGCCCATAGCTGCCCTACTGCCCCGAGTCAACCGCTTTGAAGAGCTCCTGTCTTGGGCTGAGGAGCGCGCCGCTGCCAACGGCATCACTCTGCCCTACCAGCAGCCCGGGTTCAAGCCTGAATCAGTGATGCCGCCGGTTCGCACCCCGGCCGCCGCCGCTATTAGCTCGGCCGCCGCCGCTAGCTCCAGCTCAGATGATCCTCTAGATCTCCCCCCTCTAACCGCTGATGGGCCGGTGTCGATGCAGCTTGCTGAGCCTGAAGGCGAGGAGGAGCTTAGCTTTATGGACTCGGTGTTCTGTGTATCTGTGACCCCCCGCCTGAGGACGGTGACTGACTTCTAGCTGTGTGTATCGCGCGCCTTGCGGGGCTGTCGCGGTGTGTGCGTTAATACCGCGCACAAGGGCTCTACCCGCGCAGACGCAATTACTCTGCCGCGGTTCCCCCTTTTGCGCAGCAACACCTTAAACTTTTCAGGCCCTCCAAATTCGGGTCGGAGCGTAGCGGAGTGGGCCCCGAGTTTGAAAAGGGCGACGGACGCTTGCGTCCTAGCCTCCAACAACGCCTCCCCGGCGCAGAGGGGCCCCCGGAGGGATGCACAACCGACCCACGCCACGCCGCTTGCGGCGGTCCTCTTCCCAGCTCCGCTGAGGGCCGTCCGTTATTCTTGTGTTTGTCAGGCTTGCCCGCTGGCCGGGACGGAGGCGGTCCCGGCAAACACAACCGAGGAAGAGACAGCGAGAACAGCGGCTGACAAGATCATGCCACGCCTGTCTGTCGCCGACGCGCTAGCCATCCACCACGCCATCCACAGCACCGCGGACACAGTAATCCTCGCCGACGGCACCGTCTGCCGCATCATCGTCTCCGCGAACCGCTGCCGCCGGTGCGACCTTCCGCTTGGGATGTTCAGCAGCAACGCCAAGCTCATGGCGCAAAATATGGACAAGGACAGTGCCGCGGCCAAGCGCGCCCGCCAGGGCGCCCAGATTACACACATCATCCCGCTTGGCGCCAACGGGCAGCACGGGACGTACAACTGGGGGATGATCGAAGACGGGAGAATCGCCAAAAAATGCTTTGTGCTCGAGGACCCGACTCGGCCGCCCCAGGACCCCGCGCGCACGCCTCACGGCCACTTGCGCGCAGCTTGCACCTACCTCGACTGCCCGTACAACGAGCGGACAGAGGCCAAGCGGACTGGGGGCCCTCTGGGACGCCGAGGGGGAGGGCAGCCCAAAAGGCGATACTTCACCGCCCCCGCTTTTGGCCGCAAAGCTTGGCGGAAGACCCTACCTGACCCCGGCCCTAGTTACTCCCCTTCCCGGGTAAGCGTGGGTAACGTTTCCCGCCG